TCTTTAAACACAATTATTTATTTATTTTGATTAGTTTAGTCTAGCTGTACAAACCCTGTCAAATTCAGTAGCTGTAGGACTACAGACTACATTTGAGTTAGGTTTGGATGGATTAGATGGTTGTTCTTCTACATTACAATTCATTCAGGTAACGTTAAATTTATATTATTATACCAACAGAAATATTGTGACCATACAACTATTTTAAAGATAATTCTGTAGCATGTGCAGTGAAGGAAATGAAATAGGGTTTGAGGTCCTACTGTTCTGTACTATGGCCTACTCTTATATCGAAGGGTTTATTCTAAGGGATTTTTCATGTGCATGCAAATGTATACACAGGACATTGCAGTTCTTTGTCTCATTCGAATGACTATGCTTTTTCACTAGCATGATGTTAATGAATGCTTTTTAAATAATATGCTCACATGGAAATATGTGGTTGGATATTGTCATTCCCCCTGTCCGTATGTCGTCCACAATTTCTTATGAATACTCCACAGATTATGTAGGCCTTATTTCACTTTGTGGAACCTTTTGAACTCTCAAATGACCAAAATAATGATCCGATAATGATAGGAACAATCTCTTTTTAGCTTGGTCTCTGTCCATCTCTTTCAAACTGTGGCTGTATCTTGCAAAGCAAAGCAACCACTTGTTCTTTTAATTTGTAGTCATTCATTTGTGTATTTTTATAGAATATTAGGGAGATTTCTTGAATGTGTACTTTAAATCTTTTGAAAATGTTTTTTTATTGCCAGTGATATTTACATAAATTAAATTTCTTTGTTCAAATGTTATTCCATAATATTGAATAGTTTGCGATTAATCTTCTTTGCTGGGACTCTTATATTAAATGGGAAACAAAACATTTGTGAGACCTTTAAAAAAAATCAATTGAGCTTAAATAAAACTAATTTAACATTGATAATGATCTATAGGAGTTTACTAGCTGCTTACCATTATGCCAGGCTAAAAGTTAAACTTAATAAATTGTTATATTTTCATCGTAGAAGAACAGGATTCCTGGGTATGATCATTAATATGAAGAGCATAATTGGTGTTGCTGAAAATCTGTTAAATACGAATATTCACCCACTAGAATATTTATATATATATATATTTGTGACTGTCGTTTGTCTGTCTGTCTTTCTGTCTGTCTGTCTGTTCGGGGTTGGCAGCTACACTAGGTCTGCCCCGAGTCTGAAATTTGGGGTATAGGGGTAGCTCGGACCGGGGAGTAACATAGGCCAGGTGGCGTTAGTCTACCACTTCCGGTTTCGGAGTTATGACCCCCGAGCGAAGCCAGTCTGTTCGGGGTTGGCGGCTACACTAGGTCTGCCCCGAGTCTGAAATTTGGGGTATAGGGGTAGCTCCGACCGGGGAGTAACATAGGCCAGGTGGCGTTAGTCTACCACTTCCGGTTTTGAAGTTATCACCCCCGAGGGAAGTCTGTCTGTTCAGGGTTGGCGGCTACATCTGCCCCGACTCTGAAATTTGGGGTATAGGGGTAGCTCGGACCGGGGAGTAATATAGGCCAGGTGGCAATAGTCTACCACTTCCGGTTTCGGAGTTATGACCCCCGAGCGAAGCCGGTCTGTTCGGGGTTGGCCGCTACACAAGGTCTATCCCGACTCTAAAATTTGGGGTATAGGAATAGCTCGGACCGGGGAGTAACATAGGCCAGGTGGCGTTAGTGTACCACTTCCGGTTTCGGAGTTATGACCCCCGAGCGAAGCCGGTCTGTTCGGGGTTGGCGGCTACACTAGGTCTGCCCCGAGTCTGAAATTTGGGGTATAGGGGTAGCTCCGACCGGGGAGTAACATAGGCCAGGTGGCGTTAGTCTACCACTTCCGGTTTCGGAGTTATGACCCCCGAGCGAAGTCTGTCTGTTCGGGGTTGGCGGCTACATCTGCCCCGAGTCTGAAATTTGGGGTATAGGGGTAGCTCGGACCGGGGAGTAACATAGGCCAGGTGGCGTTAGTCTACCACTTCCGGTTTCGGAGTTATGACCCCCGAGCAAAGCCGGTCTGTTCGGGGTTGGCCGCTACACAAGGTCTGCCCCGACTCTGAAATTTGGGGTATAGGAATAGCTCGGACCGGGGAGTAACATAGGCCAGGTGGCGTTAGTCTACCACTTCCGGTTTCGGAGTTATGACCCCCGAGCGAAGTCTGTCTGTTCGGGGTTGGCGGCTACACTAGGTCTGCCCCGAGTCTGAAATTTGGGGTATAGGGGTAGCTCCGACCGGGGAGTAACATAGTCCAGGTGGCGTTAGTCTACCACTTCCGGTTTCGGAGTTATGACCCCCGAGCGAAGTCTGTTCGGGGTTGGCGGCTACATCTGCCCCGAGTCTGAAATTTGGGGTATAGGGGTAGCTCGGACCAGGGAGTAACATAGGCCAGATGGCGTTAGTCTACCACTTTTGGTTTCGGAGTTATGACCCCCGAGCGAAGCCGGGTATCCTGCTAGTGTACCTATAAGATGGGCCAGGGTCACTTAGAGTTATTTTTTTAATGCTGTTAGGAGAAGGCAATGTTCTTGATATTCTATTTCTGTTGAGATAAAATTATGGACATTCATTATGTCATTCATATTCTGAAGCCTAGTTGGTCGAGTGAGTAAGACACTGGATTGCTAATGAGAAGGAATGCATCTAGTCATTTGGATGGTACATATAACATATTGGGGTGCATTTAAAACAACCCTTGACAATGGGGAATTCTAAATAAAAGTAGACCGTTGTGGCGCTATCCGGGAAAACTTTACCTCATAGCACATTTTATATCGTATACCCATCTCCATTAAACCAGTTATTGCAGAAAAGTAGGATATTAACCACATTTAATTTCATATTTTCTTGTGGTTTACAGGTGGATGGAATAACAATCCAAATATTGTACAATTTAAGGCTGCCTTCAGAAGGTTAATTTTCCATGTAGAACCCAGTGCATGAGATGAAACTGGTAACATTGTTGCAAGGGATGATACTGAATCCATCCATGCAGCCACAACCTGGTATGTTCCACCAACAACAGAGACTGAAGAAGTTGGAGAAGTAAACATAGATATAAGTTTTTATTTTAGGAGGTCTTTAGATTCTTTAGTTGATAATATTCTTGTTTATATAAGTGGTTATATTGTAAGAAAAATTTCACCTAAAATAACATGTAATATATTTGTAAACTTTCTCTTGTATCTGAGAATCCTGCAAGTCATAATTCTTATATTCTTCTGATTTTAAGAAACAATGGGGCCTTTATATTCCCTCAAATGGATTATTGTGTGTTATGAAATCTTCTGAAGTTTGACTAGTCTTAAAAAGTCTTCCAGGAAGCTTTCGTCGTTGGAATTACAGACCAGAGTTTTAGCAGATATTGGACATCTTGATATCTTTAATTTTGATAACCACATTTTAGAAACGTCCTGTGGAATTTCAAACCATTACATCGACTTGATAAGATTAATAATTGATCATTTCTGTCTGGTACGTCAGTTCCATATAGTCAAATTACAAAATTTGTCAGAGAATGGGGATAGTATAAGGCATAAACTAAACAAAACTGTCTTAGTTATGGGACATCAACAGAATTGAAATGGGGTTGATAGTCCTACATTTCTGTATTGACTGTTGTTATGGTAAAAGTTTGTTGTTACATACTATGTCTAAATAAAGGTTGTTGTTATTACATATATGTCTAAATAAAAGTTTGTTGTTATTACATACTATGTGTTACTAAAAGTCTGTTGTTATTACACCTATGTGTAACTAAAAGTTTGTTGCTATTACACCCACGTGTATCTAAAAGTCTGTTGTTATTACAAACTATGTGTAACATAAAGTCTGTTGTTATTACACCCATGTGTAACTAAATGTTTGTTGTTATTACACCCATGTGTAACTAAAAGTCTGTTGTTATTAAAAACTATGTGTAACTTAAAGTCTGTTGTTATTACACCCATGTGTAACTAAAAGTTTGTTGTTATTACACCCATGTGTGACTAAAAGTCCTTTTTTTATTACACATTATGTGTAACTAAAAGTCTGTTGTTATTACACTTATGTGTAAGTTATGCTAAAATTTTGTTGTTATTACACGCTTGTTAAACATACATATTGCAAGAGGCAAATCTTCCTATTGCAGGTCTTTCTTTTGGCCAGAAATAAAGACTTTCTTTATTATCGTTACAGCGGTAACAATGACAAATCGAATCTACAGTGTTTTTAAAATGCGATTTTCTGGGTCCGGGGTGAAGTAATTTGACTGAAATTTTCAGCATATCCTCTTTATATTATCTATTTTTCAAACTTTTACAGCAAGAACTGGCAACTCTTTATCTAATATCCCACTTTCCCATAATGTGTCTTTAAGTTACAACTTGAATTATGGAATATTGTTGAAAATGAACCATTGTATTTCTTGACTATGCTATGATTTGATTGTGAACCATATTTGAAAAGTTTCTTGGGGTTTCCTACCACTGCTAAAGACCTCTAAATCAAAACATATGTTATACTTGTATGTGGTTCAGGGCCTATTTTAACTTGCTCACAGACGTCTGTCCTTCGGAAAATTATATCTATGGTTGTGAACATAGAAATTGTGCATTCATAATCATTGGGCTTGATCTAGTCTCACGATTTTTTTTTTCACTTGTGTTGTTCACATGTGATTGTCTCTACAGTCTCAATTTCTTTGTTATATTACAACTAGTGTAGTAAAGACAAGTAAAACAAAATTTTGAACTATAAAAAACGAAACGAAATAGAATCTATATTTTAATCAGATTGCTCTAGAGGTCACAATTTTGTCTAATTTTGATGAAACTTAAAATATATGTTTATATCCCAAAGATCTGGGTTCCTTTCGATATCTGTGCGCGTATCCTACCCTAACTTTCTGATTGTACGAAAAATCTTCTTTATTTAGCAAGTTATCTGTCCATCTCTTTCAAAATATGGGTGTATCTTTCATGGCAACTGCTTGTTTTATATTTCTAGGTATTATCAGGATGTGGTGTTTATGATGGAACAGAAATACATGAAGCATCTGCGTAAGTATGTAGTCATTGTAGTGTGGTATTCATGATCAATGTCAGTTAACTAACAACAGAATGACCATACAATAAAGGAATAAAAATATTACTAAATAGTATAATTTAAGCTGATTTAACAAGGTAGAAGAAAGACAGATTATTGCTTCAAAACTATATTCTGTTCTAAGATAATATTCTAATAAATCATTGTGTACAACTTTCTAATTTAAATAAAGAAAGAGTGGTTAGAAATATTAGTTCCTCAATTGTCATGCAATCAACATACATGAAGATTGTGTAGATTATTTCTTCTTGCACATGTCTCAATTCACTTTTAATCATGGTGATTTTTTTTAACTATGTTTTTTCTTCTAATCTTCTTTAATACTGGTATATAATCAATACTTTGTAGATTATAGTTCTCTTTTTTTAGAGATAACAGCAGAATCACATTCTACATGCCCTGATAGGCGATCCTCTCTGAATCATTAGCAGAAACATGTCAAGTGTGTTTTGGTATTTTCCCCATGATGTATGTAAGGGTTTAGGTTGGATGCAATCCTTTGGCGATGATTGACCAATGTTTGTCCAATCAAGCACTGGGGATGCGCAGAAGATGGTGATGTGTGCATGTAGAATGTAGTTCAGTTATATTGAAAGTCAAGATGTCTACATAGATTCACAATATTTACAGATATGTAATTTATTCTTTCAGGGTTTTGGTTCATTTAAGTCGATCAGGAAGTGATGTTGATATGTTTGCTCCCGATATACAACAAATGCACGTTGTCAATCACACTAAAGGTGAACCTATGGAACCTAACAGGTACCTTAGACTGTGTATGCCTGGTGTAAATTATTGTATTGCTTATTGCTGATTAGTGTCAATTGTGTCTTTTTATTGTACTTTTGCACTTAACTCTTCTTAAGTTCAAGCCTGAAAGACATACAGGATTAACCAGATTTTATCTCTCCTGTAAGTTTGATCTGTTTGGTTAAACCAGAGTAGTATTAACCCATTTTCTAGGTTAAATTGCCGCTTGTAATCAAGTTGTAATTGGGGCTCAACAGATCTATCTTGAAAACAACAAAAATTGTAGCAAATGTTTTAACTTGGTCCGTATCCCAACAAACAGTTTTGGCCATTGTCATATAAAGTTTGGTAGGCTAAAAAACAAAAGTTGTCATTGGCATGGATATGTTTGTATTTATCTACCGTACTTGTGTCTTTGATAACAAGACGAATATAACAATATAACACTGCTGTAGCTGTGGAACGTTAGAATTGATTCATGTGTATGGTATGAAAAACCGAGATCCCTTGTAGACGTGACCTGCAGCACATAAAAGAACCCTTGACCATGGGAATTCAATTGCAAATTTTCCCTCATAGCACACTGTATGGTGCATGGCATGCCCATCTTCATTAGCCTAGTTGGTACAGAGAAGTAGGAGGGTAAACCTGTTTTATTTCATCTAAACAATACTGAATGTTGGTTATTTTTTTTTGTCAGGAATGTTCTAGAAGAATCAGCAAGAATAGCACGAGGAAAAGTGTCTGCTCTATCTGACCTTGAACCCAAGAACTACGATGCTGTTATCTTTCCTGGAGGTTTTGGAGCTGCCAAAAATCTGTATGTAGCTTGTAGTTCAATATATGAATTGATTTATTTTAGAAATTGTAATGTATTTATTTATTTTAGAAACTGTAATATATTAATTTATTTTAAAAAACTGTATATCCTTGGTACTTCTGTAATGCTATATCCTTATGAGCCTTCAAAATGTTCATCAAATCTAGACACATAGTTAAAAGTTTCTAAGAGCTTAACAACTTGATAAAGATACCTGTAAGAGTATTGAAACGTTGCATGTAATAAACCAAGAAGTAGTAAATCCATAAAGTTGTGTTATTATGAAACTTTGATTAAGGTCAAAATAAAAGTTTTGTCTTCATCTGACTCTGATCTGACTTTTTATTTTGATAGACTATTGGACCAAATAAACGTAATTAAATATTTGTTTCGATATGTTAAGCGAAAGTTGATATATTTGCTAATTTTAGTTACATTTTAGGCTGAAACTGATGAACACAAAATTAATTCTGTATCAACATTGGTTCTGTCTGTGGACCTTAAATTTTAAATATAAGACAGATGCACACTTCCAAAAAACAAATTTAATTAAATCAACATTTGTTTTATCAAATTTACTGTATGTAGCATTACAGGCAAGATTCCAACTGAAAATATATCATTCATAAATACAGGCCTTCAAATCACAATTTTAGGTGTTCCTGAAGGCAGAATATACATGCACCTGACATTTATACTTTTCTGTTGAAATTGTCAATAAAATGACTAAAAGTAAACAAATTTCGGCTTGAGCAAATGACACATTACAGACACCAGAGGATGTTTAATCCAGCAACAGTATGGAAACCCAATTTAGAAAAAGAGGAATTCATCCAAACTTATTGAAAGCCAAATTATTTTAAATTCTCTACATTAGTTGCAACAGTCGATATCTTTAGTTATCTGATACGCTTGCTAGACTAGTAGCTAACTGGGGTATTAGTCAATGTGGAGTTTCAGAATTTTAAATTTTTTAATAAATGCTGGTACATATAATTTGCTAGAGATTAGAGTTTGATGTCATAAGCTATCTGATTACCTCCCTTTAGTTATATCCCCTTCAAATTGCTGGTTAATGTTTTATACTAAATTACAGGTCTACATTTGCTGTTGATGGTACGGATATGAAAGTATATCCAGACGTAGAAAAAACATTAAAAGGTTTTCATGCATCAAACAAACCAATAGGGTATGTTTTTTAATATTTAATATTTTATATTCATAACATGGGTCTTTCTGTTGACACCTTATAACTTGGATGAGATGATTTTGCAGATTATATTTGTTGGTGGTGATGAATTTTTGGTTGTGGTCAATTTGAAATAATCCAATTAGACCTATGATTTGACCTTATTGTTCCAGTTTGAATATATACTTACGTAATTCTTAGAATGATTTTATTGTCTTCAAATGGAATGAAGTGGATGAAGAAACAGGATTTATCACTCTGCAAGAGAGGAGAAGGCGTCACAAACTCATCTTAATGTACAAAATTATTAATCAGCTAACCCCTCCATACCTCCACAATTTAGTTCAGTTTTCCAAAACTCCTTATAATCTTCGCAATAGCAATAATTTAACTGATTACTTTTGTCGAACAACTTTGTTTTCTAAATCCTTTATACCTTCTACCATAAAAGAATGGAATAACCTTGATCTAAGTATTAAAAATTCGACCTCTATAAATAAATTTAAAACTAAAATAATTGATAAAGATAAGAATATACCCCCTTATTTCAACTTTGGCAAACGTAAAATCAAATATTACACAGTCATCTTTGTCTCTCTTGCAGTGACCTAAATAGGCATAAATTTTTAAGGCATATATTTCGGACAGCCCTGAGTGTGATTGCAATCATTCCTTCGAAGATACCGATCATTTTCTTTTACATTGCTCCTTACATTCTGATGTAATCAAAATATATATAAATCTTTTACCACCCAATTTTATCAATACAAATAATCTGTTATACAGTATAAGCAGTAGTCATATTTCATTAGCCATCTTTGAAATTGACCCAAATTGCAAAAAAAAAAAAAAATGCCCACTGTTAAAACTTTTTTAGAAAATACCAGAAGAGCACTGGGTTATGGAGATAAAGTAAACATGTCCGATACAATGATGAGCTCATGGATATAGCTGTAAATGTGTGACCTTGTTCAGTAATCCACAGATGAAAAAGTTTTACTGTTAGAGAGTTAGTTCAGTAACTGCCATAACATGATAGCATGTTATTTATATCTGCAATGCTTGATGCGGATTCCTCAAGAAACAAACTTGATCCTTAAAGATACTTTCCCAGACAAGTATTTATCGGGTGGTTATTTCCAATAAAAGTATGGCAATTTTGATGAAAAGTAGAAACATCCAATCTTACTAAAACGCTCTAACGCCAAAAGTTATCATCCACATGTTTTAAAATTAATATATGTTGTTTGCATTAGTGAGATGAAGATTCCTATTTAATTTAAATAATTTCCATTTATTACGTCTAGAGTTATGGCCCTTGTTTCACTTTATTGAACCTTGCGAACGCTCTAACATCAAAAGTTATCTGCCGATCTGTATGAAATTTGCATGTGTCATTTAAATTAGTAAAGAGAAGAGCCTATTGAATTTCAGCAATTTCCATTTATTACTTCTAGGGTTATGGCCGATAGATGAAAGTTATCATCCGATATGTATGAAATTTATATGCATCATTTAAATTTGGGAAACAGAGGTCTATTGAATTTCAGCAATTTCCGTCAATAATTTCTAGAGTTATGGCGGTTGTGAACCTTGTGACAAAAGTGATCATCTAATCTGTATGAAATTTATATGCATTATTTAAATTAGTAAGACGAAAAAGCCTGTCAAACGGCAAAAATTATAATCTGATCTGTATGGAACTGTCTTGTAAAGGCCCCCAATTACCTACAAAGGAATAAATATGCGACAACCCTTGTCGACCGCTCGGATGATTTAGCTGCTGTGGGTGTATGTTTCGTTGCCTGGCAACCTATCTTTTATAGCAGGGATATTCCCTGACAATTACAATGTTTTGAAAAGGATTTGAAGCAAAATTATGATAAATTAATTAGTTTGAATATGTTTTTTAGTCCAAATATATAATCAAATCATCCAGTTTGTACCAGGAATGGATCTTTTACAGTAACATAATATTGATCCCTAAGTGAATGATGGAAACATTTCGGCCACCTCGATTATTGGAGATAAAACGAATATTAACCTGAACGTTTGCCATTTTAAAATAAATATAATTTCTACACAGATCAACCATCTATTTATATTAATATAGTGAATTGAATTCATGATTGAAGGCATAGCGCTGGCATGAACTGTGTTCAAAATGTCATTTATTAGTTGGTTAATAAATTTTATTAAGAGGGATAAAGAGCGTGTCCGCGAGAAAACCATGCAGAAGGTGCTAAGGCTTCAATCACAGATTTTGACCAAATTTGGTTCATAAGTTAGGATAGTCCCAAAACACGTAGCAAATAGACCAAACTCACACAGTTTGTAGATAACCTAGTGCTGTTACCACAAAATTAATTTCAGACGATTCTGCCAAACGAGATCTGTATACGGACTGGATATCAAAGCCTATCTAAATTTCCCATTTATTCGTCACCCAAAGTTTGACGCCCTATAGCTACTTCTTTCATGGGGTGGGTTTCAAAAATTTATGCTCACATGAACAAACAACCTCCCAACATTTGATACATAAAATAAAAATGACCGGAATCGACGTGACAAAAAGTAGGTAAAGCAAACAATAACCCATGAAATTAACCTGTAATTTCCCTATTTTGGAGATAATTAACCGTAGTAGATAAAACAAAAAATAACAATTTTTTTTTTTTTCATTCATATGGTGTTTACTACCAACCCTAAAATACATAAGTATCTGTTTTATAAAAATGTCTTGAAAAAAACACTTTAAAAGGGCCTATAATCGTTCATGGTTCATCTGGCGCCGACGGGAATTGGCTTCAGCAGTTGTCCACAAGCTTCCATTGGAGTATCGACGTGCTCAATGAAATGATCTTAACAAAACATATTCATTACTCTCAAATAGACATTATTTTAAATAAAATAATCCAAACAAACATGAAAAATTCACCTAAAAGTGAGATTCGAACCACCAACCGCATGATTGCCCCTGACCCACCCCCTCACCGAGATGCTTATCCCAGGTCCATGTCGCGGGCCCTGTTCAGGGGGATTGTCTAGGGCCTCTCTTATTCTAAATCTGGCCCTTGCTACACTGTTCAACGTCGCCCACTTCCACGCAAGGCTGCGTTGCCGTTAAAATTTAAGCTTCCACATTTCTGTATTGTAGAAATCAGTGGATGTGTCGCAAAATGAATAGTGGAAACCTGCTCTTAAATTGAACATTTTGTAGCCATTTTCGGTGACCTGTTGGAAAATGAAACCTTAAAGAGACAATACAACAAATATGTTAAAGGGACAATACGACAATACCAAATATGCAATCAATAAATACAAATATTCACTTATATACAGTACAACATGGTACAAATGATGCCTATGGATATGATGAAAACGTATACAAGTCAAAAATTTTATTTCTCTAATTAAAGATACATTCCCGGGTACAAACTGGGTGATTTGATGATATATTTGGACTAAAAACATATTCAAACTAATTAATTTATCATAATTTTGCTTCAAATCCTTCTCAAAACTTTGCAATTGTCAGGGAATAGCCGGCTATAAAAAATCGATCAAAATAGGTCGTGTTTGTGTCACGTGACACAACAGGTGCAAGGTCGGAGGAGAATTCATTGCATACACAAGATGATATTGTCTGTATCGCTGACTATTTGTTACAAATATCGAAGCCTAATTAAATTCTCGGATTATCCACTGCCTGCGTCTTTTTCCGTGATTTTTATCTCAGAAAGTGTTGTACGTCTAACTTTTTATAAAGTCATAAAGTTTATCAACATGTACATCAAGGGCTCAATCTCCACGTGCAACCTTCGACGTCACGTGTGCAGACACTCCTAATTGTCTGGCTGTCGATTAGGGAAACCCGTACATTTTTGTCCTGTATGTGCTCCATGAGTGTTTTTCAGGGAATCCATTATTTTTCTAGTAAGATTGGATATTTCTACTTTCCATGTATACCAAAATTGCCATACTTTTATTGGAAATAACCACCCGATAAATACTTTTCTGGGAACTAGCTTTAAATTTGCAAAAAAATGTATCACAAAAGCTTTTTTTTAGCACTTTTCAATAAGCTCTATATTTTAAGTATGTTGCATTCGGGTCATTTTTTTTTTACGCCTATTGATACTATGTGCTTAGCACTTCAAAACCATCTGAAGAAATTCTGCTTGCGACCATGAAAGAAAAGGTTACAGTGTATCTTTTTCTGTACTACACGACAATGTGAATATGGTACCCTAAAAGAAGTCCCCCAAAATTAGTAGGGACTGATTTTTTTTTTCAAATTAGTCCTGGGTTGGAAGTAGACCACCCGCTTTATCAGACAGGGTCAAAATTAGGTTGCTATTGCACCATAGAATGCAATCTGTGCTTAAAAAAGGGTGATAAATACACATGTGAAAACCAAAATTTTACCCAGAAAATGACTATTTCCAGTACAGTCCTTTATAGCGAAATCAGGTTGGAACCACTTCAACATGAAACTTCTTGCCTTTAGGGTGTGTCATACCATAAGTTTGATCAAAAATTGATCTTGGCACTTTTTGCGATTTTTGCCTGGTCTTTTTGCTGGTACACTCTTAAGAGATCATTAACGCTGAACACTAGTGAACAGTTCTTGAGTGACTACTTTTAAACAGAGTATAATTTTAAGATCAATTAAAGGATTAACAGTCTGCCGGCATTGTGGGAACACACCTATTTAATTGTGTTAGGGTGATAAGATTACATCATTGATCAGTTTAATAGGAAGGTGTTAAGTAGTTTGTGTAAGAAGTGTTAATACTCTCCATGGCTAATCAACATTGTTTGGGTGATATCAATTAACAATTTCTTCTTGGTAATCTAGCAGGCTACATCATAATGCTATTTTGGGGGTATTTTTTCTTCAAAGTGAAACTTTTTAAAAAGATGTTTAGGTTTATTTAAATGTATTGAATTACAGTACTTTATTTATATTTTGTTTTAAGATACAGATAATCTGAAATAATAATTGAATTTTGATTTTTTTTTTTTTATATTGGGTTGTGTAAACTTTTAATAATATTATGTTGTATTAACAGATTATGTTGTATATCACCAGTATTAGCTGCTAGAGTTATCAATGGCTGTGAAGTAACAGTAGGATCAGATCAAGATGAAGGAGGAAAATGGCCATATGCTGGAACTGCATCTGCCATACAATCTATGGGAGCTAAACATATTAAAAAGAATGTCACTGTATCCTTTAATGGACGAAAAAATTTATTCAACATTCCAACCATCTAAATTCAAATCACTGTGACCACATCCATAATGTACCATGATTTATAACGTTAATTAAGCTGCTTCGACACCTTACTTTTACACTACAATAAAATAAGCGGAAATTCCATGAAATAAATAAACAAATGCGAAACCCATTGAGTGCTACAAGTTATTGCACATAACTGGGCTTGTTTATTCTAGACTGAATATATTTAAACATACACTATGCAAAAGCTAAAACTGCCTATTGCAGGCCTTTTTCTAGGCCTGAAATGTTATATAAACTATTAATTAGACATTTATTAACAAAACAAGACCATAATCGACTCTTGATGGCATCATACTGGAGATTTTAACTAGATTAAAACGATTCGTCATTTAAAAATTTAATTTAAAAATGGGAAAGCGAGGCTAAGTCCCGATTATACCAGTGCCCTGGTTACCACTGTGCACACATCTTGTCAAAACTACAAACAATGATAACTTGATTAGTCTAAACTTAAAAGAACCCTTGATAGTTGGTAACCATAGAGTAGTAGGCAATGCCAATCTCCAACCGAAATCACCTACCACCCAATATACTTGTGAGTATAGAAATAAAACTTACTAATGGTTATTAATATTGTTTAAATGTACTAGATGTTTTACCTTAATTATATAATACAGGAATGTCATGTAGACAGTAAAAATAAGATAGTTACTACACCAGCATATATGTGTGATACTGGTTTACATCATATATTTGATGGCATTGGCATTATGGTGAAAAATGTTTTGTCCTTGATTAAGTGAATTTTAAAATGTGAATTGACTGCCTGTGAAACTAATGAGACTTGCTGCTTATGATTCATTGTTGCAATTAGTATATAGTCCATTATACTGAAAATACCAATAGATGAATGTAATAGCCTGATGTATGAAATATACATCACCTGGTAATGCATGTATTATAGATGTACATGTATGTAATTTAGGTCACCCAGTAATACATCAATTACAGATTATATGTTATTAACCCAAGCATTGTATATTTAAATGTTAAACTGACACTAGTATTTGTGATGTGAAATACAATAAATTTATAAAATAAATTTGATTAAAATGACCTTTTCCATCTCATTAAAATATAGTGATAATTTGAAACCTGTCGATGGTATACAATTATAGTTTTTTAAGTTAGTTCATTTCTAGAAGTAATGTGGTCACCTCAGTCCATCCAAAAACTTTTGAGGTCAAAGGTCTTATTAATGTTTATACGCCCACATTGAAATGTGGTCATATTGTCATCGCCCCCGTCCGTCGTCTTCAATTGCTTGTGGGCGTTCTAGAGGCTAAAGTTAATATCCGATCGACTTTAAATGTATACACAGTGTTTAAGGACATGAGAAGAAGAATCCTATTGCTTTTCAACTATTTCCAATAATTAGTGCCAGAGTTATGGCCCTTGACCTAGAGTCTCAAGTTAATATCCAATTGACTTTAAAATTATACACAGTGTTTAAGGTCATAAGACGAAGAAGCCTTTTTATTTTCAACGATTTCCGATAATTAGTCAGAGTTATGGCCCTTGATTACTTTGAAAAATCTTGTGGACACTTTAGAGGCTAACATTACATGTAATATCTGTTTGGCACAGTGTTTAAGGTCATGAGATGAAGAATCCTATTGATTTTTAACGATTTCCAGAGTGTTTACGGTCATGAGATTTTCAACGTTTTCAGATAATTAATGCCATAGTTATGGCCCTTGATCACTTTGAAAAAGGTTGTTGACGCTTTAGAGGCTAAAGTTAATATCCGATTGACTTTATATTTAATACAGTGTTTTAAGGTCATGTGACGAAGACGCCTATCAATTCAAATGATTATGGCAATTGATATTAAGTGTTTTGTATGCTAAATGTTAGAATAGGGCAGAACTAGAACCCAAATGGGTTGTTACTCGTAATCTGGTTTTGTTGTAAATGTTTTCATTTCTGACAAAAGACAAAAATATGCGACAATCCTTGTTGACTCCCCGGACGACTTAGTTGCTGTGGGCGTGTTTCGTTGCCTGACAACCTATCTTTTTCAAATTGGCAGGATTTGTTGACAACAGTTTTCGAGCTAGCACAGATGACTTTGCTGCTGGTGACCATATTAGGGGCCCTGACAAGCCCCAATCTATATTTTCTAAAAACAAATAATTGCCAGATTTTAATCATGAGAATAAAGAAAATATAATGTTCCACAAATTAATTCATTTTGTGCATATTTTTACATTGTGCCATCATTTCCTATTTTCCAATTGTGTCATATTTACTGTGCACAGATAAATATGTTCTTTGATTTATAACTAGCTCACATGCCTCACACTACAACTTTATAGATTTTATGTTGATAATAACCACAAGGTAGACACATTATTTATATACTTTAATTTACATAATTCATATATATTGCTATAGTGTTTTACACAGACAGGATTTATACATATCTATTCTTATACAGATTTATTAAAAACATTCCAAGTAAACCTTTCTGTATCTTCCAAAGACATAAGTAAATTGAACTTGATCAGTTAAACGCTTGTATTTATGAGCCAATGCTTTAACTGCCGATTGGATGGTGTGCTAGCCAGTGAAAGCCTACAATACAAATACTTTTGTACATAATTAACAAAGTTTGTTATAAAAAAGAACTAATAAAACACAACTTCTAAATACACAGGTGATATTTCTCCAAACCACAATGATAAACTGGTAATATACATAGATTAATTAAATGAATATACTGAATGTTAATTTGATACCCAATAGTCTAGGTCACCAACCTAAATCGCTATGAAACAACTAGCCACTAAGATAATTTAAAACATTTTTATAAAAATAAAAATCTATGTACATTTTAACAACCATTTCAAGGTTTTTTTTGAAAATTTCCAACTGTGTTGACCTACACTACAAGGTCTACGACTTTAATCAGCTGGTACACTGTAAACCACCTTTTTAGTAAATGGTACAATCTAAATAATTACCTGGTTATTTCATGAAAGTAATTATCAAGATACTGCTTAGTTGTAGAAGCAGATGTTAAATAAAGTTTTTTGACACAGAAAAGAAAACCCATAGAATAAAGGTAATAGCCTACTGTGAAAGACAACATATTGCAACAAATTACATAGTGAGGACGGAATGAAAACATGAAATGTGCAAAGAATCCATAGAGGAATAATTTTATATGAAAAGACAGTTTATTAGGTTTCTGCAACTCGATGGATTTTATTGATTTTTGCTATAATTTGATTTTCTTTTTCCTGAAGTTTTTTGTAAACATCCGACTGAAAAAAACAAAAATAATAATAAGAATGTAATTAAGACTTTTGAATTATATTGTAACACTTAGAGGACATCACATGTCACATGATTTGTATGGCTACAGTTTTTTTTCTTTGCCAGCAGGTTTAACCTGGTATAAAATAAATGTTAATCTTCCCTTCTAAGTGTATGCACTCAACGGACAAATGTCAGATGTAATGGATGACAATTCAAGCACTTTAAAAAATTGTGGGGAAAAAATGACAACTAATCTAACATATTTTTTGACAACTAAAAATAGGTTATAATTGAGACTAACACTCAAGCATAATAATTTTGATTGACCAAAGCTAAAACAAAACAGTTTTGACAATAGACTTTTCATTATTTTCTTACATATATGTTTTTTATTTCTTAGATGATTTACATAACCATGTCAGACATTGTAAGTTCTGGTTTATTTTGTACTAACCTTGAGTCCACCTAACATATCTTTAGCAACACTTTCTATAACAGCTTTAACATCATCTGGTGTTAGACCACTATAAATATTTACATCTTCTGGTAGTACAGAACTTATATCTACTTCTATAACTTCTTCATCTTTAGGCTGTAATATATATATAAAATATTATTAACAACAAGCCAACAGTGAGGCTGATGTCCCAATGTCTCAATCCAAAAATACATAAATGACACCCATTAATTACTTGCATTGATTATCTTTTTATAAAGCATCAAGCAATCAAATTGCTTATCATTTGCTCAACCTAAGATAGCTAGGGGATAGGATAAAAAAAAAATTCTATTAATGGACAAAATTGGTCTGAGGTTAGTTTCATATTTAATCAGCCAAAAATATTACATATGTTGATTCATTAGACTACAAGGAAATTTAATGCACAGTAAAAAATTTGTCATTTCTGGGACCTCCTTTTTTAAAAAAAAAAGGGGGGGGGGGCACTGGAGGGTGTTTAACGTAACAATAAAAACATAATATCAGTTTAGTTAATTTAAAATATTGTGACTCAGCATACGCCACTGATATTTTAAACTATTCTTTAGTACAATTTCAAAGTTCCTTATTTCTGAATCATAATAGAAAGAAAAATTTGAATATATAATAGACAACACACGTTTTTACTACTCAGTAATAAACCCACAAAAACAAGGGATATATTCAAATAGTTACTTTGCCATAAAATAAAATAAAGAGTGAAAAACAATTCAAAATCTCACAGTGAACAGATGATATGATAGCCTATGTATAAATTTATTTTGAACTTTTATTTCTTACCTCTGGTGTTGGAGAGGGTGGTGGTGTAGCTATAAACTGTTCATACATACTAGTTGTTATGCCTTCATCTAAAGGTGGTGGAAATGGTACATCAGCTGACATAGCTACTTCAATATCCACCTATAATAACATAATGTACATTATTTTATGATAGTACACTACATTCTATTTGTTACCAAATAATCATATGATCTCATTTTAACTTTAGGTTGTCTAGCAAATTAATAGGCTGAAATCTAATCGCCATTTCTAGAACTATAGTTAAAAATAAAACTATCTAATGGAATCTCATTTGTTGGTAGTATGACCTATATTATACATTATTATTTATTGTTACAAGTAGCCTAGCATAACAATACAAATAACTAAATTATTCTAAATTTTTATTGGCATCCACTTTAGAAGTCGGAATGTCTGACAGTAATCGCGTGACATCAAAGGGATATACCCCACCCCTTTCATCTTTCATTCCAATCACCATAAACCATGTGATATTTTCCCGCCTTTTCCAAAACTTCTACCCATTATGATAGTGTCATGACAATACCAGCAGTGAACTAGATAAAACGCAGGGAAAAAATGCATGCCAGAAGCAGTAAGATTTGGAATTATTTCACGGTAAGCGAAATAACATCACAAGACGCTTCATACCAGCCCGGTATCCAATGAAGAGCCATTGTTGACATCTTCTTTGGTTTTATTATCAGGAATCGGGATAAACAAATAACTATTGTCAGGACCATTTTTTATTTCATATAGTTAATAAATTTGTTAATAGTTATCAGAAACAATTTAAATAAAAAATTCAATAGCCTAATTAGGTATTGTTTTAGTTTTTGATCAGCACACATTGAAAACAGATCGAAGAGGGGTCTCCGCGATGTACTGACTGTGTTGTCCAATTCTATGATTTTGATCATCATGCAATTGGCTTATTCCCTATTCCAATCAAACGGTTTATCGGATGGACTGTTGTACGTTAATGTCTGTCTGCACATGTGCAGAAATGGCATTCTCAAAAATCGGATTGAGAGAATCGAACTCTCAAACAGTGTGTGAATAAGGATTTAAAAAATAACGGGGACCGGTAAGGATTTTGTACTGTTTATCTGTCCTTTTTACAGCCCTTATGAGAGTCTTGTATTACCGGTACGTCTAAATAGCAATGTGCACAGCAACCGAAATAAACTTTTATTTTGGTTGCTGAGCGTGTGGCTATTTATATAACGGAGACCGGTAAGGATTTTTTACCGTTCATTCTTTCCTTTTTACTTCTCCTTAGATGCATCATGTGTCAAGCAAAATAATGATTTGTTCACAACTCGGATAATATTTTAAAGGTAATTATCGAGTCGTTTTGAACAGATATCGGCAACTCAAGTATCGGCCAATTACCGATGTTCAAACAGATTATCGGACCATCACTAGTTAAGATGGTTCTCATATACGCACAGATTTATTATTACTGTATAATAACATCTCTACTTACATCTGTTCCTATTATTTCCTCAGCTTGTGTATGACTAAACATAAACTCATATAGTTTATAATGTTGAAATAAGCTGAAAATATACAATTTATTATTAATCATCACTCTACTATTAACTGAAAGAATGCTCAAAATCATAGGTAAATTGTTCCCTTGAAAATAAAATGCAATTAAAAAGTCTGCTGTGCTGACAAGATTAACACCTGGCTTAACTAATCATATTACTGGTATACAGTCAATCCTACTCTGATTCTTGCTGTAAGGGACCTAGCAAAAATCACCCTAACCATTTTTTAGTCAATCTTAACTCTACTAAGAAATGACCCTTACTACATTATATATAATAATAAATGACAATATAATATTATATATAATAATAAATGACAGTATGATATTACTGATCCAAGTACCTTGAGGAAACATATTCTGTAATCATTTTTGCTTGATTAATATCAAAAAACTCTAAACCACCAGATGGCACTACTGATTGTTCCACACCAATACCAACCATCATTTTCTGAAATTCTTTTAAATTTTCCACCATGGTCATATGTTTGTCTGGAAGGAAAAATTAAAATCTATATGCTTGTGATAAATCTTTGTTTCTATGGTTTGAAGGTTGAATAGATCAAGAAAAGATTGTGTCATCTTGGACAAGGATTTTCAAACTTTGGTTCAGGGGTTAATGGCAGGCAGACTTCCAAGTGGAAGTTTATTTTTATGACATACATTTCCAAATGGGAGTGTAAAAATGTGTATATACAGTGTACCAATATAACAATGAAGGGCGTAGTATCTCCATTTGTATTGACGTCTAGTATTAAAAACAAATTCTATGTATTCCCTTACCTTTGATATTTTCTAATAAATTATGAACAATAGTAAAAAATCCTGACAATTGTTGATTTGTAAATGACCTTTCTTTAGCCCACCAAACAGCACCAGTATAATAATCCAATATGGATGCCTCTTTCAAGTCTGTCAAGTTGTTATTTAATGTAAATATATCACACAATTTTCTACAAAAGAAAGAAATTAAAATGTCTTCTATTCACCTAATCCTGTCAAAGATTCAGATACTTTAACATTTTTCGGACAATATTTAACTTTTCACATCTTAATCCACACTAAAATGTACTCAAATTGATTATTTAATTATGAAAACCAAATCAAGATATCAACGGTAGATCATCTTCTTGCTTGTATATTCAATTAGAATTTTAAAAAAAGATACATATCAAAAGATTTTTGCGAAGATAAAGGTGACACAAACTTTGGACCATATTACCTTTATAATGTCGGTAGAGGCTGCTGAATGTTGACAAATTTTATTTTCATCATATCTTTGAAATTACTGATAATTTTTGGATTAACATATCAACTTTTACAATATTCTAGTTTTCAAGGGCTTAAAGACAGGTTGACAGGCAACAAAACATACACCCATAGCAGCTAAATCGTCCAAGCAGTCTGCAAGTGTTTTCACATATTTATTCTTTGTAGGTAATGGGAGCTTTTACAAGACACTGATATCAATTTCAAACAGATTGGATGATAACTTTTGTCGATAGAGTGTTCACAAGGTTCAACAAAGTGAAACAAGAGACATAACTCTAGAAGTTATTAACTGAAATTCTACAGGCTTCCTTATTTTACTAATTTAAATAGTGCATATAAATTTGATACCGATTGGATGATAACTTTAGTCATTAGACTTAGAGTGTTCAAAAGGTCCTACAATGTGAAACAAGGACCATAACTCTAGAAATAATAAATGGAAATTGTTGAAATTACATAGGCTTCTTCGTATCACAAATGTTAACAACATATATAAATTTCAAAATGATCAGATAATAAATGTAGCCTGTAGAGTGTCCACGAGTAATTGTTGACGCCAAACAAAAAGGAGGACAGAGGTGATGGTATGAAAAAAACAAACTATATAAGGTTTCATTCAGGGATAGGATTTCGCACGTATATTCCGGACTTGTCCAATGCTATTTTTCAAATGCCCAAAATTGTCCGCCCAGGTATATGCCCAATCGGACATCAAGACATGGTGAATAATATTCAAAATTAATATAATGTACTGAGTGTATAACTACCACTCAACCCGATTATCGTTGATAATAGGCTGGATTGATTAGGTAATTAGGTGATCAACGTATTTATCGTGTTATACGGTCTATAAACCTACCTTGATTAACTACTTAATCTGCCATGATTGACTGACTTAATCCTTTGATGGACAATTCATCTATCTAATCTTAAACAGAAGTCATTGCTTCCCCTTTGTCGGAATATTCATCAATCCAATAAGAGTGATTATAATTTTATTCCACATGTTTACCTCATGGTTTCTGCATTGTTGAACATTTTAATCGCAATGATGTGAGCCGACAGCATCTATAAACTAGTCATAGATGTCACATATCCTAAATCAATGGACAGTCATTTTGTCTACGATATCTTTTACGTCTTTTAAGACTCCATATAGAAATTCTCATCCACAGTGGCACTTTCCCGTGATTTCGACTGCCGTCCGAAAATTCCTTTACATATAAGGCAGCGCTTACTATGAAGCTATGTGCTATATCAGTTTATCTATGTTATTAAAAAAAAAAAACTATATCTGTTCATCTATGTTATGAAAAAAAAACCTATATCAGTTTATCTATTTTGAAAATGAAACACTATATCAGTTCATCTATTTTAAAAATAAAACCCTATATAAGTTTAATTAGTTTTAAAAATAAAACCCTATATAAGTTTCATTAGTTTAAAAAAAAAAAAATGTTTAAGTTCATCTATGTTCATCAAATATAAACTGATTGATGACCTATGATTTCATCTTTATAATAAACACAATAGTGTCGCATCACGGATAACTTGTCAACAACCATTCTCATTGTTGAACCTGATTTCCCAGCCATACTTTTATGGTTATACATGTTGTCTATAATTTATTTCAGTAGATCAATAACTATTATTTCACTGCTCTTAACGTCTACTTACATTTGCATATTGTCGATTCCCAAGGCAAGAAGCTCTCTGCACTGATCTGCTGAGAGTATTTTATAAGCCAAGGCACTGTCCTTTCCATCATTTTCATCACCCTGAAAAAAAAAAAAAAATTCTATGCAAGTTGAAATACAAATGATACAAATGATACTTACTTCTAATACAGAGAGAGAGAGAAATGGGGTTCACCATTCAGGTCATTTTGAGACGAAAACATGTACAGAACACATGTACAACTTTATTTCAGTAATTTGTTTGGGGGTAGGGGTCTTTAGCAGTAAGAGGACCCAGAGTAAAGTTATGAGGTTAGACAGGTGACCTCACTCCTTGTCACCTACTTCGAATACAAACAAATGTAATAATTTTGAATAATACCATATTGAAATAAACTGATAGCGTTGGTTAACCATTTTGAAAACAACCAACCACCAGCTTAAACTTGGGTCTGTGTAAGTCACACACATCCAGTAATATAAGAAAATTTACTAATGCCTCTGTTTAACCCTTTATTACCAAACTCCAACTTAAAGATGCAATATGTAAGATTTAGATAAAGAGCTGACCATTCTTGCTATATAATAATGGTTGATAAATCCATTTATATAAATAAATTCAAAGATGTGTGTATGTTCGCCTATCACACTTCGTCGTCAAGCCTCACCCCCACATAATGTGGTATCAAATTAACCAGCATTTGGGGCCCCGGGCAAATTTGGTCTCGGGCGTGTGATGAGGTCATGATAATTCATTGAAATCTATTGTTTGTTACCATTTAAGGCGATCACATTTTCTAGAATCGACATTTGGAAATGTCTAGAAACAATTGAAACCTCTAGAAACAATGGAAATTTCTGAAAACAGTGTTTAGAAATCATTGGAAGGTTCTGGTGGGCTTGTACTCTCAGTTATTAAACATACATTATGCAAGAGCTAAATCTGATTATTGCAAGTCTTAATTTAGGCTTCAGATGTTATAGAAATTATAAATTAGATCTTTATTTAAACAACAAGACCAAAATCAACTCTGTAGACCCACGGATGGCTCGGCTACAGCTCGGATTTAAATAGGATTTCACTAATTGATTAAATCAAATAAGGGGTAACCTGATGAAAATACGTCAGTTAGATCTTCAATATATTCTTCTTTCATCATCTACTTTTGAACTGTTATAGCAAGAATGGCCAACTCTCTATAAAAATCTCCCATAATGTATCTTTAACTATATATTAATCATTGAATTTTCCGATGGTATTTCGTTGATCGCGATTATGCCTAGGTCAATCAATGCTTTGAATTCTATCACCGTAAAAGCTCCCACGCCATATGAGTTATTGTATGCTACACAGATGCCTCTTGTGACAAGTGACTTTTTGTTTTAAATACATTTTTATAAAGACGATAAATGATGTTTAGACCTCCTAAACTATTCTTATCAAGAATCTTTTGATTTCAGTATTTGTCAAAAAAAACAAAAAAAAGTAATTTAATCAGGAATATTATTATCATGAAGTCAGAATGTGAATTAAATATGGAAATTATTGAGAAGCGGTGACAATTTTTCATATTTTATATGGTAATCATAAAACTTTGAAAAACAATCGTAAAGGTCGCGCATTGTTTCGATTGCAACACACGTACATACAAATTTACATGTACCTCGGTCATATAAGACAAAACGAAATTTAGGTAAGGTGGGGGGCAAAAAATTCAAATATTTGAAAAAGTTTGATTGTAAGCAATTGGGCTAGGCAAAGCAATAAATGACTGAAGATTCAAAGATTTCAATTTTTTCCCCCCAGCTTACCTAAATTTCGTTTCGCATGGCCAAGGTATGTAAATTTGTACATTACCCTATATGTAAATTTCAATGGCGTTTCGCAGAAGGGGACGTATTTTTAACAGCATGTTGTGTTGCACATACTGACACTATAGATAACAAACCTTAATCTCTCAACCCTCCGTGTTTCGAGATAAGACATGAGGCCACTACCTTCAACGTAGCACATGCGGGAGCGATTCACACCCGGCATTTGTAAACAAAATTGACAATATTTTTAATAAAAACAACGATTGATTAATGTTATTTATAATATTTCTGCCAGACCCAACTACAATTAAGCATATAATTCTACCTGAAACGGTAACAAATCGTCGTTTTTAAAATCGAGGCGTTAAAGCCGTTACTAAGACCGCCATCTTTTTAAACGATACGCTGTCATCATGAAGGCATGGCTAAATATAAGGCTTTTATAACAGCCAATCAAAAGGGCAATCTAAAGCACTGTAACTATGAATGGATTATGAATGGTTAACGTCAGACAAAAACAACGCTTCATTAATTTAAACAGGAATATTTGGAGTTAGGCGACAGTTGTACCACTACATTGGCCTCTGTAAGTTTAATTAATCATAATAGCATAAACTTATCTTATTTTAAAGATGTTACATGCATTAATAAAGAAATTGAGTTTGACACTTGGAACTAAAGGCATCCAATTGTAGCTAAAAACAAACACATCAGTATATCTCAACGTTTTTAGCTACGTTCTTGTAGCTAACGCACTATAGCGGGGTAAGCAAGATCTTATTTTCTCACTAAAATGTTCCTTTACATTGTACGGGCGTTCACAGGGACTGACACGCGACTGTTTAGCAGTGAAAAGTTGCCCAGTAAAATTGACTGGGAAGCGAAAGTGTTTCGACAAGGATTCAATAAGACGGTTCCTGAACGTACAGGGCAAGTGTAATGAGACCTACGTTCAGTCAGAGCTGGGCCCTGTTTCTCGAAATCTTAACTACCGGTAACGATAAAATCCAAATTTTAGTAGATACTCCGATTTTGATTGGCTAAGCACTAAAATCAATCTAATATTATCCAATCAAATTAATAAAATTTGGATTTTTATCTTAGTTAAAAGTTCGTGAAACAGGGCCCAGAACTACTACCGTCCATGATAGGATGAACCCAGTTATTGAGTTAATTGGGATTATGACGTCCATGGCACGGTGGTTAAGAATACTAAAAATAACATACTACTGTTACCCTTTTCTTTGCACTTCTAATCTCCGATTTATCAGGCGATAGTTGAGCTCCCGATGGAGCAATCAATTTATTTTTGCTACTAACAGGCCTGGGTTTGGATGGTGATAAAAGTGACGCTTTATCTTTATTACTGCTCTTTGTCGCCATGTTGGTTTCTAATATAAACAATACACTCTCTGGGTCTTTTTATCAAAGAAATAAACCAGGGGGAATAACTTACCTGTCCCTTCTTTTTGCGGTCCTTAGATTTTGTAGACTGAAAAAAAAAATTTAAGCGTATTGATTATCGGTGAAATGTCAAATTATCATTTCTATTTTGTTGAATTTGTCAAAGATTTTCACTTTCAGTTAGAGAAGCAGGCTTTATTAATGGTCATTCTACAAGATTTCCATAACTTGTTTGCGCGAAAGAAGCCACAGGAGTCTGACCTTCTAGCCGTATTATATGGTTGGACATGATGTATGCATATATATACGGATAGAAGGTCAGACTCGTGGACAAGCCTACGCCGAATTTAGCGGCTTATCCATTTTCTAAAGTATTTATCAAGTCGATTTTCCTAATGAAACATCTAATAAAACTGTCCTTTTTATATTTAATCTCATCGTTACATACAGTGTGTCCTATCTACGCTGTTGGCGGAGTATGTGTGATGTAGTGGTGGGATCGGGGTATTCTATTTCGGCCAGTGCTTGTGTCTTTTCGAAACAACTGCTAGACACTGCTTCTGTATTCAAACAGGAATACTATGTTACATACATGCATGAATACATGAATCCATTAACCTAAAGGCAGAGCTAGCCAGGTCGTAGGCCAATATTATTTTAAAATAAAAACCTGAATATATTCTAAAAAATTAATAAAGAGATTTTTCTTTTTTAATTCAAGAGTTTATAAGTGTCTTTAATAATAAAATCAATATTTAACTGACATGTTATAGATTTAATATAAGTTTAAGTTAGACAATAATTTCATCCGCAATTTTAGTAAATTTTACTGCATTGGTGGTCTCGTCTAAAAAAAAAAAAATATTTGTACATTATAAACCTTGTAGCCTACCATTTTGTTGTTGTTGTTGTTGTTTACCACAACATAGCCCTCCAAGTTAACAGTAAACTTTGCTGTTGTTAATTACACGTAATCGTAGTACAAGATCTTTGCCGTTGTCAAAGTGACGTACAAAAAAATAGCAAGGGGACGTAATTCTTCTATTCTCTGTGAAAACTATTGTCTTTAAATATACTAACGAACGGATGGTCTGCCTGTTCGACCAATTGTTGCATAATAATAACCCAAATTGTTCTTTCTTTAATGACATTACGAACAATGCGTCTTTACTTCGGTTAATAATTAATTATTAGACCTACATTAGGAAATCAAGCGGAACGTATAAAACGTATTAATAAAAATCAGATTAGAGCTTTACATTGACATTCTGAGATCGACAATATAAATAGTACAAGCTTCTTTATAGGCCCTGTCAACCTTTTTAATCATATTTTAGGGTGAATTACAATATACAGAAAACCGTCGCATTTATACTCCGGTTAGATAGAGGGAAACACGCTAAATAACGAATATAAAACGAGAAAATGAACCGAAATTATGAAATATGTTGATTTGAAATAAACATTAATATAAACTATTTTAAAATGCAATCTCTCAGACTAACATATAGTAATATTCTATGACAGTGTGGAATTAGGAGAGTTTTACCAAGACAGCAACTATTTTTACATTCGTTATAATTTATTTTCCCTTTCATTGGTGTTTACACAAATATAGACTATTCCCATTTCAAGTCTATTGAACTCAATTTTTGTTATTCGCCATTTTCTAACAATTAAAATAACTGAAACTACTGGAATTGGCCAGGATTCCTTTTTATCTTCTTTCGAGCTTATCCATTTAAAAGACCCAACATACAATGTCATGTCAAAATAAAACAGGTCGAATTAATTCTGACTTAAAGTACGACCATTTAAAGTTTACATTGCTTTCTGTTGATTTAATACCGCCATTTTTATTTGCCTTAAACATATATATATATATAAGTTGGTATACTTGTGCAGGGATACACTCTCTTGAACCATTGAATAACCCGAGCAGTATTCAATGGTCATTGAGTTCTATATTTCGTACAAGCCAACCCATTCTCCATGAAGTTTTCTAATAGTCAGATATGTGCTTAATTATTACATAACAACAGACTTAATTTTAATATAGTACATATGTGCGTGCCTTTAATGCAATAGTACGACCCAATATTGATCATTTGAATTGAATAGCATATTCAAATAATATTTGAATAATGACTTTGAAGATTTAATTAGCAAAACCAGACTTATTGACTGTAGCAACGCCTACTTTAAAGGAAGACTTTTGTGGAATTGTTGTCGATTTATAAACATCACTGTGGCAGGCAGGTGTTTTCAATAATTTTGTTTAGCAATTCAAATAGTATATCTAAACGGAGCTGTGACAGATTGATTCGCTCTGGTTATTTTGCCAAAGGAAAAGATGATATGTATAGTTTAAATATAGACCTATGTAAGCACACTGCAAGTAATATAGCACACTATTAAATACATGTATACATTTTATTTTTGACCCATTTGTCTTGGTATCTAAAAACTATAATATATTAATTTTATTAAATATTTGTAAATTATAGACTATTGTATACCTATAGTTGCTTTTTTAATGTTTATAAAATAGAGAGTGCAGACAAACTGCGACAATAGGAATAACGGAACAAGTTCAGTAGGCTGCAGGCTAATACAAATCAATTTACTTAGATCTTAATGTCGTTCTGACTTGGATATATTTTTGTTGGGTTACTATATACATGTACATAAGATCTTATGGCCTCTTTACATTTTATTTACATGTACTGATTCGAGCCGCTAAAACTATTATTCGATTTCCCAAATGAAAAGCATATTTTTTTCATTGGCTGCGGAATAATGGGGTCAAGTCCTCTCATTTGAACACAAACTTCTTCCAGATGTTGTTAGAGCTTATTATCATACACGATATAAAATGAAAATTAGTTAGTGGCCAGTGGGTCAATATTCAGGTCTTGGGTTAACGTGGTGTAGTGTTTAACACCAGTTAGATCAGTGTCTGGTGTAACGATGTGCTAACTCATCCCCATAACCCCTCTGTATTTGAAATCAATCCGAGTTAAGGTCTGTGGTGTTGAAGTTGTGTTAAGCATGGATATTTACACAACATGAACACCAGTGTCGTATCTGTGTTACCCAAAAAGTAATTTATACCTGAGCCCCTCAGTTTGTCTATATTTTCAAAATCAATTTCCCGGTTTAAGAAACAAATTTAGACGAAAAATATATATAGACAAGGAGCTCTGTGCAATATTATTTCTAATTACATAAAAACTTGTTAGATTTTAGATAATAATAACTTGGGAAAAGTTATTATCTTGTTAAAAATAACTATAACCCCTAGGGGCTAAAAAAAGAAATATCAGTTCAAGTCATTTATTACAACACTGGTGTGAAACAGCAGACCGCAAGAAGGGAATTTCTTTTAAGGATTTTAGATTTAGTTTTAAGGCTTAAAATGATTGTTTACCCATATATGGGCAAAACGTAAGACAAAGAAATGTTGATCGCAAACCTGATTTGCGAGAAATTTCAGATAGGAAATTTCGACTGAATAATGATCAAATGCGACAACAAAAATTCAACATAGATCCTAGTTACTTAACTTTCTGGAAGCGGGTATTTTCCCCCAATTACCTTTCTTTTTTTTAAGTTGGCCAGCTCATGCAAAGAATTGAATGCGTTAGAACAGAAGACGAAAACACAGTGTAACATTTAAAAATAACACTGGTGTTATAGGTGGTTTTTGGGTTTTTTTATTTTTCACCAGTGTTAACACTCGTATTGTAACAGTGCATATTGATGAAATATTGATGAAACACACACAAATATTTTATTTTAGATATTTAATTTAGACGTAATTAAGTAAGATTAATGGTGACAGCTTAAACATTTAAAACAATGCGCTTGGATTAAAGGAACGCTATTACTCAGGTTGTCGTTACCTGACATATTAAACCAAGCGGGTCTAGATTCTAGCCAATCAGACTTCTTATCGAGGAATGAGCGTCTTTCGTTAATGGTCTTCCACCAATCAAAAATGAGTTTAATCCTACACGTGGCATGTTCATAAGTTGTCGGGACTTTTGGAAGATATAAATAATCTAGCTCAAATTCACCATTATCTTCACTTAATATATTACTAAGAAACGACGATATTGGACTTCTCTTATATTAAAGATAATACATGTACAACCAAAGAAACCACTTTTACAGTATTAACCTAGTTTAGACACTGGTGTAAACACTATATATATAAGTGCTAAATCGAGGGGCTCGGGTTAAGGCACTGAAAAGAACACCAGTTATACACCACTACAACACAACCTTGACACAAGCGTAACCCGGGACTTGAGTTGACCCAATGTGTCTAAGTATTCGGCTATACGCTAGATTCACTCTATACATGTACTATGGATACTTATGTTAGGCTTAATTTCTCTGGATGTAATAATTTTATTTTATTTTAAATCTTCTTTAATACGAAACAAGGAATTTGATTTATAACCAATAAACAACTGATACATATTTTAATATTTCTGTGAATACAGTGCGTCGTTTCAGCTTTTGGCAACATAATGGTAACATCCTCCCATGTCTTTATAGAGCTGAAAACAATACTTGACCAAAAATATTTTCCATGTGTCATGAACTCACTTTCCAATCAAGTGGTATGCATGTTTACGTTCATGTTCCCAAAGCAATGATTGCGAGTATTATAATCATTGCACTCTTACAAAGCGGTAAATGAAATGAAATGAAATGGGGTTTAACGTCCTACTGTTCTGCTCCTATACTTGGCTAATGAAGACGGGCATACGCCATACAGTGTGCTATGAGGGAAATTTTGCCCGGGCAGCGGCACTATCGCCTACTCTTATATCGAATTCCAACTGCCAGGGGATCTTTTACGTGCATTCCAATATATACACGGGACCTCGGATTTTTCGTATCATCTGAATAACTAGACAGCTGTCCTTGTCAGACCCTCCGTCCTGCATCACTGACAAGGGGGAACCACGCCGGAAAATCTGGATGAACTTTCTCGGCCAATGCAGGGATCGAACACCCGACCTCCAGGCTAGCGAGCCAGCGTCTTACCCACTTAGCCACGTAATCCCCTCTTACAAAGCGGTTCGTCGTATTATAGTCCCTCTATGTAGCACCAATATAGGCCTACTGTGCAGATTGCCAAGACAATGCGCCACATGAAGCCAAGGACACTAAAGACCTCCATAGTATATAGGCCCGGGTGCGGGGGGGGGGGGAGTGTTCATGGGCCCCGATTTGAAAAAGAAACTGGCATGCCTTTCTTTTTCAAAATAAATAAAATTCATCTTTGCATCCACTGAAAACAATAATGGTCCAAATCCGAGGAGAAAAATGAGTGGGGCGCGGGAAGGTGAATCAAGCTGGTTTCCGTTACTCATTTTACAAACATTCTTCACCGCCAAAGGAAACCAGTTGGTCGGAGCTAGGGCCCACAGCTACCCATGTATATAGGCCCACATATCTAATTATAGTTTATGAAGGCCAGATAAATAAGCCGAGTGATCTATAAACAGCTGCGACTTGTACAGAACGCAAATCGACATAACTAACTAAAGCAGAATTTACAATATAAGACAACTTTGAGTCCGATAGATCATTGACATGTTGTTATGAAAGTATACTGACATCACGAACAGTGATTAATCCGGGTGGTGATATAAAGATGGCATAGGATTAAATATATGTTTATGCCTGTCGATTTGAGTGCTGTAATGGCGTTGATTTTGAAGGCGTTTGACAAAAGAAGTTGTTTTATTACTGTGTCACACATAAAATATCATACATTAAAGAAAAGCAATCGATGAATATTGCAATTAATTATACTAATACCCAGTCTGTAAAAGAAACCAGCACCTAGACATAGGATGATAAACTGTTGACAAGGCAGTGGCATTATCCCTTCTGTTTGTTTTATTATTGTGCCACACATCAAAAGATCATACATTTAAAAAAGTAATGGATGGATTTTGCAATTAAACTAATATCCAGTCTACGATAAAATGTAGCCAAGACAGTGGCATTATTATCCCTGATGTATTTTGGGGTATTTTAAATGCCCCTGTAGCTGCAAAGGTTTACGGTTGGGGGAAGGGAAGCCAACTGGCATACCCCAATATCAATACACTGGAATAGCTTTTACACTTATTCTGTTATTTCAACCCATCCATGTCACCTTGTATGAATAATAACAGCCGAAAGGCGCTGTGCAATTCAAATTAGTCCATTATTGACATCCCCTTACAACACTCGGCAAACCTCGGTAAATTCCGTTAGTGGAATCTGCTGAGGTTTGCCGAGTGCCCCTTCCAAAGGGTAAAGGTTAAAGGCCACGTTTAATACACGATACAATTTTGATGAACCGTGTAAATAAATAAATAACTTTACCCAGCCAAACAGGTCATGACTTAAAGGGACGCGTCAACGAGGTAGCTTTGTTTGTCTTGATCAGAACGATCCAAACGTATAGCTTTATAAACTTTTATCATGAGTTGTTAATTTGAACGCACTAAAAGACTACGTAAAATTATTAAAATTTTCTCTTGAATTTAAAATACTCGGAAGATATTCCCAACAATTAATATCAGGGTTATTGTTACTGTTGTTGTCGATGAAATGTCTCTTACAAATACCCAATATAAGTCAAAATATTTTTGAGTGTGAATATAAAACCTTTCAAAATATGAGTGGTTTAATTAACCGATCTTTTTTATCCGTAACATTCAAAACGCTGAGGCCCACGGCCTTTTTGTAATACAATGTAAAACTGAGTTTTACGTAATCTGTATAAAGTATTATTCAAACACGAACGGTAATTTCTTTTTTGCACCAGTATAACCGTATTAAATTTACAGAAAGTACTAAACAAGATTCCTGAAAATGTCAGTTTCTTGTTTCAACACAGTATGGCATCGATCGATTCAGACTTGACTGCTTGACCGCACCCGTCGCGTGCTCTGGTGTATTTTTAAACTGAATATAGGTAAAGAATATGGCATACCATGTATTGTCGATAAGGTCTAAATCTGAATTATATTGCCAACCACTATTTGTTTATTTTAAATGTCTTATACATAACACAGGAAATTTGATTAAAATACACATTTTATAATTCAGAAATTTCCTAAAATTTGAGATGAAAACAAAAATGCATGAATAGGATGTATAAACCCGAAGCGCACTAAGATCTGTATTTTAAGGGACTGTATACCATTTATATATTTACTAATTCTCGTCGTGTGAGGTTAGCCTTAGCCTTGGGCGATTTGTAGGTTTATCTATGAGCTATATGTGATAATATGTGCTATTATGACCGGGAATAGATTTAATTAGCTTGTTATACATACCTGACGTATTATATAACAGTTCAACAAGATCAGCTACATGTAATCCTAGTATAATGAGATATGGAATGAATTAGGGTTTAAAGTCTCTTCAACACCATACTTCGGTCATTTTGAGACTAACATATTATGATAATGTTATGGTTGCGCGTGTCATTGGAGGGGGGGGGGGGACTTGGGGCCACGGTAGCTAAGTGGGTAAGACACTGGTTCACTATAGCCTGGAGATTGGGTGATCGATCCCTGCATTGGTCGAGAAAGTTCATCCAGATTTTTTCCGGCGTGGTTCCCCCTTGTCAGTGATGCAGGATGGAGGGCCTGACAAGGACAGCTGTCTAGTCGTTCGGGTAGGACAAAAAACCGTGCACGTAAAAGATCCTTTGGCAGTTGGAATTCAATATAAGAGTAGGCCGTAGTGAAGGGCAAAATTTACTACATAGCACAAGCACACTGTCTGACGTATGCCCGTCTTCATTAGCCCAGTTCGGAGCAAAACAGTAGGACGTTAAACCCATTATTTCATTTCTGGAGTGCCCGCTTATTCTTTGATTTTCTTTGTGGAAGTTGATTGATTTATTTCCGTTTTCCATTTTTAAGTACTGCATTGTATATCATGCCTACCAATTTACTTTGTACTTTAGTAATTAAAAAAAAAAAGTACCGAGACAAACAGGGTCACAACCAAACGGCTCACAACTGTTACGGTGCATTCTAATTGAGCTTTCCCAGCCAATATTAACACATAAATAACAATGAGACATACCAATTCAAACTAATTATTGCTTTTTAATTTATTTTTGGTATCTCTCTAAATTGCTTGATATATGTAAATGATTCCTTCCCATATTTCATGAATTCACTTTCTGTTCTTTGTATTTTAATGAGAGACAGCTGTTGTCTGATATAAATATTCAGTTATTATCATTTTAGTTTTCGTTATGTTTCGAGAGTAGTGTATAAATATTAGGATAAAACTAAAAATGACCATCTCTTTTTACCCGATTTATAAACCCATCCGAATCCAAATGGTTATAGGTAGCCAAGATGGCTTAGGGGGTAAGGGGCTAGGAACCAGGAGGTTCTAAGGTGCAGAACGGAGGGTCTGACTAGAAACAGCTTCTTGTCATTCGGATGGGACGAAAATCCGAGGTCTCGTATAGGGCTACTCGTTGGCGTGCACTTAAAAGAACCATATAGCACACTGAATGACGTATGTCCGTCTTCATTATCCCAATAAGTGCAGAAAAGTAGGACGTTAAACCCCATGTGACTTCTACATATACCAGTGGAACGAAGGAAGGCTAAGGTGGTGAACTACATACTATTAGCAACCATTAAGCCTAAATGACTGTCTTGGCGACAATCTCTGGACATTGTAGACGTTACCATCATCGATACAAAATAAAACTACACTATAATATGAACAAATAAATTGTGGGGTGTTTAAAAGTAGGTCGATATTATTTACTAGTATCTGTGGTAAATTTGTTATCGATAGTGTGTTGAAATCTGAGTCTATGGTTAAACCATTCGTAACGGGCCATTAATAGCAAGAAAGATTACACACGTCGGACATATTCATTCTGAGACTAGATCACTCCTATTCTATGGTAACGCATGCAATGAGGTGGACCGGGCAGTGGCGATACTAATGATAGTTTCAATAGTTACATTTCCCATAGGACCCGAGGCTTCCGTCACATCCGATGTACAAAGGTTCGTGCCATTTTGATTTTAATAAATCTATATAACTCTACGTATTCTGTGAACCCGATAATTCCAAGATCCGGCGACGTGTAAAATGTTTCGAAAAGTTGTAATTGGACTCTCTGTAAACAAAAACTGCATTAAATTGAAATAAACCAGAATGCCATAGATGTAGCTAAGAAAAACATGTAGCAAATGTCTCTATGTATTCTGGCCTTTATAAACTCTCTTACCACCATTTACATTTAAAGACAACACTTACCCTTCTTATTTTCGACATAATCACTTAATTTATTTGTAGCAGCCTGAATGAACTTCCTCAGGTTTTTGCAGAGGTCGATAATTCGTACATGTAAGAGGAGAGATACTTCCAGAACGATGTTTTCATAGGTCGTATAGATCTGGTTCCAGACTTCGTCTAAACGTGTACAACTGTTGCCATATTTCCCATTCCTTCGTCCATCTTGAGAATGGTAACATGGTAAATGCGTATAATATCAAGTTGTTAAGGGAGGTCGAGATCTAAGCAATGTAATTCAAATCGAGTGTTTATTGAGAGTCGACAGGTAATAAAAGTCTAAGAGAGAATTGCTCACAAAAGGGAATGGTGTTGAAAAGAGTTTTGTATAGGCTTTAGATCGATTCTAACAATGATTAAACTGTCTTGTAAAGAAGCTCTACCTATAAATCAGACCTCTATTCATGTATTTACACTGCTTACAATATTTATGTTTCTGTATAGAATAATAAATGAAGAGTATTTGTGGATATAGATGTCTCCGAAATAAGGATCTGAATTTTTCAATTCCAGTTCCCACGTGTCAGGTGTAGCGCTACAAAGGATCTAATCATTGGGAAAACCGTCATTATTAACATGCACGTAAATAACCACAGACCCCCCCCCCCCCACACACACACACACACACACCCACACACCATACGCCAAATGTGTTCTGAGACAAATAATCTAAATCATTGTTGATCGGCTGTAAGTGCTATTTTCGGTAATTTATATAGACAAGTTTTTAAAGAAATGGAAATGAAATGAAATGGGGTTTAACGTTCTACTGTTCTGCTCCGACTGGACTAATGAAGACGGGCATACGCCATACAGTGTGCTATGAGGGAAATTTTGCCCGGGCAGCGGCACTATGGCCTACTCTTATATCGAATTCCAACTGCCAAGGGATCTTTTATGTGCACGCTAATGTATACACGGGACCTCGATTTTCCGTCCCATCCGAACCACTAGACAGCTGTCCTTGTCAGACCCACCCTCCGTCCTGCACCACTGACAAGGGGGAACCACGTCGGAAAATCCCGATGAACTTTCTCGGCCAATGCAGGGATCAAACACGCGATCCCCAGGCTAGCGAACCAGCGTCTTACCCACTTAGCCACCGTAGCTCTCAAGTTTTTAAAGGACCCCGTGCATAATAAATATATTAACCATAGTGTAATATAAATAGCGAAGTCAGAGGGCCACTACCCCCTCCTACCCGATGGACTTAACAAATGAAAACAATAATGTATCTACTTTTCATTTAAAGTTAGCCATATCGAAGCTCCATGGTCGAGGTTAAAGATACATTATGGAAGATTACATAAATAGCTGACAGTTCTCACTGTAATAGTTAAAAACTAGATGATGTAAATGGAATATGCTGAAAATTTCAGTCAAACTGCTTCACTATAAGCTGAGAAAAACTTATTTTAAAATCACTGTAGTCTCGATTGTCATTGTTACAGCTGTCACGAACAAAGTCTCGATTATCCAGTTTTGCGTTTAATCATCAACGGACGTTGAACAGCAGATAGGATTCAAATCCATTGAAAATCGGACACATAAGATGGCATTGAGAGTTGATTATGGACTTTTCATGTTAATAAATGTCTAATTAATAGTTTATATAACATTTCAGGCCTAAAGAAAGACTTGCAACAGGCAGATTTAACTCTTATATAATACACGTTTATGATTCTTTTATTTATGTAGATTGTGGTCCATATTGAGGAATACTCCATACTCCAAAGATGCCGAAACACACGTAAGCTAACAGAAATTGTTTTACGCTCATTTTCTAAACGCAGCCCTGATTTGGCAATGACCTTCTAACGAACATTTGGATTCAAAAGTTTTCCTCATTCTGTCGTTCGGAAAGTCTATACATGGTTAAACTATAGTAAAATAATTCTGTTTTAACTCGAGAACGCCGACTTTGTTTGGTGTTCCCAGCTTTAATCAAATAGCTGGACTAAATATAGACATTTTTGGTACACATAGGTTGCTCTATACACACTAAAATTCTGTACACAACTCTTTATATCTCTGTATCTCAGCTTTGGCCGCATTGTTTGAAATTTTGAAGTTCAAGTACCACTGGATTATAAAAAATCTATAATACCAGCAAAAACGAGAGACGAATGAAGAAATCAGAGATTGTTATACAGTACTGGATAAGCACCTACAGATAAGCCTCGGGCAAAAAACATTAGCTGGGCAATAAACTGTTTTCAATTAAAACATCTTTTCGACCATGTTGAAAAACTTATGGTTTTGTTTGCGACCGAATTATAAATTATAAACTATTATTAAAGATGCATATGCAAGAGCAAACTCTGCCCATTGCATGTCTTTTTTCTGGCTTCAAATGTTATATAAGTTATTATTTAGACAGCTATTCACATATCAAGGTCAAAATCAACTCTCTAGAACATCGGATAACTGAGATATCGAGTGGTTTAGACAATTAGTGTCATATCTTCGTTTAACGTTAATATGGAAGCCACTAACTGAGACTGTCGATCGAAGGACTGAAAATCGAGACTTCGTTAATTATCTTGGCAATGATACTTGACAATCAGAATGAAATTAACTGAAATTTAAATATATATATTCATATTGCATTATCTATTTTTAAACTATTACAGCAAAAATGGCCAGCTCTTTATCTAAATATTACGCATCTTTAATATAAATATGTATCTTTGATGAAAACAATGTTCTATACAGGCGCGGATCCATGATTTCTTGCAGGGGGGGGGTGTAGGTTGGATAATTGCTTAACTAATTGCGTTGGGCGTAGCCCACCGCCGCGAGCGCCGAAGGCGCTAAACGTTGTAAGGGGGGGTCTGGGGGCCCTCCCCCTAAAAAATTTGGTAAATTAGATTCAATTTGGTGCATTCTGACGTATTTCCGGAAGGTAAATTCCAAAATTACAGGTCTAAAAATCGCCAATAAAATCGCATTAAATGTCCTTAAAATGTTGATAGGGGATGCTCCCTTTACAGGTGAGGAACAAAATATCTTCAGATACCATATTATGGTTGTTCTTAACAAGCTTTATTAGCAGTATCAATTTACTATTAGAGTAACCAGTCCATTTAAGTATAGGAAAGTTGGTCGGGGTTTTCCAGAGCACAAACTTTCACAGACGAAAAGTCTATAGACTTGGTTTACTGTTTTTACTTTCAGCGCATAAAAATAAATAATAGAGCTTGCAATAGTTGCACAGACTTAATCATAAATGTAGAGGTTTAAAGGGAATTTTCACACATCAATGACCAGGGTTTTTTTTCTTATCAACGCTGCCGATAAAATTAAAAAGCAAACACAACAATATTCAACGTCAACAGGCGAACAGCGTTAATAAAACTCTTTAAATTTCAATAAACTTATATTTTCATACAGTACGGTATTAAAAAATTGCCGTCGTCAATAGGCGATTTGCCGTGGGGTCAATTGGTCCCGACGGCAATTTATGCTGTCGACGTTTTTGGCTAATTGCCAGAGCTGTATGTGACTATTTGTTTTTGCCCACAATGGAATGAAAGTCATGACTCAACTCAATGTATACAAACTCGCAATTTTTAGGTCAGATTCAGGCTTTTAGATTTAAGTTTCTCGGACCCTTCAAATTTTCAAGCCTGAGCAGGGGGTTGGGGGGTCCGGACCCCCTAGACCCCCCCCCCCCTCTGGATCCGCACCTGCTATATCCAGTTCAATGTGAATTTAATCAAAGTATTGGTATTTTTGTCAGTTGGTCTGTACACCCATGAACGTTTGGAAAATCGCCAAGTTCTATTTATATCTGCGCAATTTTACAATTTATTTTTCGCATTGTATGTCGTAATCAAGGGTTACTCGGTTATAGTGTATAAATATACATTGTAAACACAGATAATCCACCATGTATATGTTGAAAATCTAAAAAACATATATTATCCAGACGACAAATATATCACATGATATTATATCTGATATAAATACTGACCAAAAGGTTAAATGAAATGTTAATAAATCAACGTATTAATTGACTTACGTCTTTAATCTTTTGAGCTATGTATGATAAACATTTACCAGGAAAAGATCTAAATTTTCTTATTCGTGGCATAATCTTTCGGATGGGACAAAATGCAGGTTGGCATGGAAGTAAAAGAGTTTGAAATCAATGTCAGAGCACAATTCTTACCCCTTGCATTGCACTCTTAACCACATAAACCTAAAACTACGATATAATAGTCCTGTACATGTTGATGGGACTTTATACCCTATATTGAGGCATGCCTCATTAAATATCATATATATATAACATGAACCAGCTAACTTAATTGTCATGTATTAGCTATAGATGTACGTCAAAAAAAAACAAAAAACAAAACCAAAAAAAAAACAGTGTTAATATATAAGTTTTTGGTCATTTCGGGGATGTCTGGTATTGATTTACAGTATGACTAATAGAAAATTAATAAATAATGTCTTTCTTTTTTTTCAAACTAAAAAAAAATCAGAAATGACACATCCCGAATGATTAAAATAACAAGACAACAATCAATAAAGGTTTATAATAATCGTGTGTTGAACTTAACTCCTCGTTCATGCTGCTTATTGACCAAGATGTCAAGTTGGCCATTTCCCTATGCATAGGCGTAGGAGCCGGGGGGCAATGAAAAATTCGACGACCTTTTTTTTCTATTAACGTTTAGAGAAAAAATATAATTAACTTATTTCTATGAGATCCACACTGCCCGAAAAGTATTTTCTCGTCTTTTTCTTGTCCACTGCATGCCCGAAAATATGCCCGAAGCTCTCTTATGATATGTATGCCCGAAAAAACGGTATTGATTTCGGGCAATTTACTCTTATGCCCCCCCTGAATTACTTTGAGCTCCTACGCCTATGTCCCTATGTCGTTCATAAGCTTAAAGTGGATGTCCCAGATTTTACATGAAATGCAAAAAATTGACGACATAGTCTTCTGAAAGTTTGTAATTCATTAGAAAGTAGCATAAATTTGCAAGAATAGATTTGACCAGTTGCATTCACCAACGTATATCAAAGACTATTCCTTAAAGTTAAAGGGGCATTGTGCACATTTTGGGTAAATAGCTGGTCGTTCTCGCTATAATATTTCAAAAATAGATAATGCAAAATGAATAGCCTACTTTATTTTGTGCGAAGTCATTCGAGTTTTAGCTTCGCTTCTCCATTTTTAAATTAAATCATTAAATGGCCGAACCGTTCTAATCTA